CCCCTCTAGAACCCTCAGTTTGTTTTTCAGAGTCCATCGTCTCTCATGGTTCGTCTACCCCTCCGATTTCCCCCGCTTCATTCTTCCCCTCCCGCTACCTTCTTCTTCTTCTTCTTTTTTTTTTCTTAACATATATTGCATTATTTGTTTCAGAGGTACAGATCTGAGATTCAACAGTCTTGCACAATTCACAGCACTCACCAGAGCACATACCCTCCCCAGTGCCCACCACCCAGTCACCCCATCCCTCCCACCCCACCCCCCACTCCAGCAACCCTCAGTTTGTTTCCTGCAATTAAGAATTCCTCATATCAGTGAGATCATATGATACATGTCTTTCTCTGTTTGACTTATTTCACTCAACATAATACCCTCCAGTTCCATCCACGTCGTTGCAAACGGCAAGATCTCATTCCTTTTGATGGCTGCATAATATTCCATTGTATATATATATACCACATCTTCTTTATCCAGTCATCTGTCGATGGACATCTTGGCTCTTTCCACAGTTTCGCTATTGTGGACATTGCTGCTATAAACATCGGGGTGCACGTACCCCTTCGAATCCCTACTTTTGTATCTTTGGGGTAAATACCCAGTAAGACACTCGTTTTTAACTGTTCACTTTCCTACCACCTACTTAAACTCTTAGAGTGTTCTAGAATAGTTTAAAACTGAGGAAAAGTACCTCTCGATGGGAGGCCAGTGGTTCTCAACAGGGTACGATTTTTCCCCCAGGGGACGCTAGGCAGTGCCTGGAGACATTTTTGATTAGCACAGCTCGCGGGGAGGGGGCGTTGCCAGCATCTAGTGGGCAGAGGCTGGGGGTGGTGCTCACATCTGGCGATGCACAGACCAGCCTCTTAAAACACAAAGTCAACAGTGAGAAAGCTGCGCTGAGCACATCATCCTGTATGCAAAGCATTGTTATCCTTTCATTATTCTAAGAACCTTGAACAATATGCCAGGACTTGAGCCATAGCCTCTTTGTTCTCTTCCGCAGTGGGTGACAAGGAGGGATGGAGATTCAGGAGGACGGGGAGCTGGGGAGGCAGACACCCCCGCACAAGAGTGGAGCAGGTGGGCTGGGCCTGAGAGCCTGTTCTCGGGCTGGTCCTCAGGACTCTGCCTCGCCCTGCCTCTGCCAGACGCCCATCTACAGGCCTGGCGTTTATCTTCTCTCTCTTTGCACCCGACTTAATAGCAGTAGCTGTGAAAAGAGGCAATGGCTTACTGATAATATTCCAGTCACTTTGGTTTCTTGTCTTAATTACCTTCCTAATTTGCACTTTGGGTGGAACACCTGGGGTGTGAGCTCCAGTCGGCAATGTTTTCCTCTGCTGCTTTTCCACCCAGCGGGTTCTTTCTACCATCTGTTGATCTTAAGTATCTGCCTTAATTCTCTTATTTATGTTCTTTCCGCGCGGGTAATTTGTCTTCGTCTCTCATTAGTTTCTCTCCCGGGTATTATCCTACCTTCAGACAAGGTAGCCACTGCGTTCCTTTTCCCCAAGGTTCTCTCCTTCTCCTGGCAGGGAGCGGGGGAAAGGCTTTGGCCCCCTCCCACAGGCAACTTGTGCTTTGGAAGCTGGGCTCCCCCAGAGGAGGGAGGGGCTCATTTTGCAATTCATCAGAGCAGGTTCCCTCACTGTTGGCCCAGGTACAGGGTGGGGGCAGAGGCACTATGCATTCACTTTGCTCCAAACCTCTTTGGGGTACAGATTCAGATACCAGCTCTTGCCACCCATGCCTGGGAGAAAACCACAAGCCAGGTTGGCAAATGGGTGGGGCCGGGGGAGAGTGGGGGACTGAGATTCGAGGCCTGGCTCTGCTTCTTGAGGCTTGTGTCTCTTTGAGCAGATGCTTTTTCTCCTGCCTTAACTGGGTACTCCCCTGCCCAACCTCCCAGAGCCACTGAGGGCATTTATATAAGTCAGAGTGCTGGGACTTTGCCAAATAACAAGAAGGGCTTAGTTTGCTAATTAATATAGGTCCTGTGGCTCTGGGCTGCACTATCATTTACATTAAAATGACTAATTAGAGCAAAATCTTTAACAAAAGAGCAGACCAACTGTTGTTTATAGTTTAGAAAAGGAATTTTTTTCAGAGGAAGGGATATGCCCCTCTGGCGTCGTAAAACACCCCTTAGTCCCTCCCTAGCTTTTGGCACCTCTCCCCGGTGGGCCAGGGGTCCCTGGTGAAGCTCTTTGCCTTGGAGACCCACAGTTACCTCTGAGAGAGGGTTGAGGGCCTGTGTTGGTACAAAACAAAGTTGAGAACAGCAGCCTTGTAAACACTGGACTCTGATGGTAGGAGACTGGCCAGATGGAGGCATCTCAGATGTCCTCCAACTTTCTGAGACTCAGAAGGTGCATAAAAAAGGCTTCCTCCATCCTGCTGGAAAGGATGCCTGGAACTCCCAGACATATCCATCGCAGCCCGCACTGAAATCCAGCCCTTCCCCTAGGACACTCCTCCTTTGGGAAGCTTGTCAGATGCATCAGGCAAATCTGGAGATGGTGAACATGCGTCCAAAGCCCTCCCTGGAGCTGTGGCCTCCTCCAACCTCAGAGGACTTTTCTGAAAGAGACGGAAAAGAACGCACGGCCAGGGAGAGCAAAGAGCCTGGACCTCAGAACCAGAGCCCGCCTGGGCTCTCAGACCAGCTCCCCCTCCCCTTTGCTCTCTGATGTGGGAGCAGAGGTGACGATCCCCACCTTTACTTCATGCTTCTAGCCCGGCGTGTGGCCCACAGGTGGCCACCGGCCCCCATTTTCAAAAGAAAGACCACAAAGACGCTAAGATCTTGAATACAAGGCCTAATTTAGAATCAGAGTCATCTCAGAGGAAGGACTTGCTGAATGAAGCCTCAGCCTTTGTGAAGAATTTACATCAGGAGCCTTAAAAATTGAGCGAACATAAATCCATTTTTAAAAAGCTTGATATGAAACGTCTGGTTGTTCTGGCAGCCCCGACTTGGCCGGCCACCTCAGCCCCGGAGCTCGTTAGAGGCACCGTCTCGGGCTTCTCAGCAGTCGGCTACGGGGTGAGCCACACGTGCTGGGAGGATGCTGCCTGGTTTTGGAAAGACACCCCCCCAAACCCCTAAATTCTGAGTCTGACAGTGGCCCAAGAGTCATGCCACATGATCTGTGGGGTTTCCTGCACCTCTACAGTCCTAGGATTCTGTATCCCATCATTGGTCATTATGACAAATATGGGAAGATATTTGATGGAGCATCAGAATCCCAAATTCTCAATCAGCAGCCTCCAGTGGCTATAGCCACCCGATAAGGTCCCCACAGGAGACTGAAGCACAGAGGGTAAACTGAGGCAAACAAAGAGCCCTTTATGCCTTAGCAGGGTCTTTGGACTCCAAACCCCACTGTGGTTTCTTGGTGAACCAGACTGGATTATAGGTGAGCTCTTACGCCTTAACACGGGACAAGTCTGAGCAATCCTTTGGTCTCCAGGTGTCTCCTAGAGTCATCATTGCAAGCCCAGCATCCTTGGCCCACCCCAACTAAACAGGACACAAAGGACAAAAAGAGGCATTTCAGAGAGACAGTGAATCCCAAAAGAAAACAAGCCCTTCTCACTCAGTAGATTTTTCCCTTCTTCTCTCTTTACAACACAAAAGTTCCTCCTGGCCCCAAAAGCCCTTGGTCTTGATTCTGACCAATATTGGTAGTCCTCTTTCTGGCCTTGATTCAGAAGAGGTCTTTAAATTCTCCCACAGATATCAGAAAGTGTTTTGTTGTTTTTGTTTTTAAAGATTTTATTTATTTGACAGAGAGAGACACAGTGAGAGAGGGAACACAAGCAGGGGGAGTGGGAGAGGGAGAAGCAGGCTTCCCG